TGGCCAATGGGGTATAGCTTGGTTACACTTTTTCCCTGTCTATGTCAGTTAAGGACCGGCCATTGCATTGGACTTTAGGCAAGTCACAGACTTATTATCCCGAGCACATACTTGTGTATGGGCGCAGGAAAGGCTTGTTGCTCTCTTGTCGTGGGTTCCGCTCTTTTCTGGACTGACTGATTGGAGGCGGAGATGGTGGAGGTCTAAGCACCGCACTAAGTCCGGAACTCAAGAGTGGGGGCTTGGAGTCCAAGTTTGGACGGGGACCTGGACCCCGTGATAGGAACCCAATAAACCATAAAGCTTATCATATTCCTTGGAGTCGGTAAATTATTTCCACTAGTCGGATAAGTCTTGCGAGTACATTGTGTACTCATGTTTTATTTACTCCTATTGCAGGTACTACTTAAGGAGTAGCCGTTGTGTAAAGGATTCTTTTGGTAGGTATAGACAGATCCTTGTATATTATCGATAGATATTTCTTTTCATTCCACTGTTAAATTTTCGCGCTCTGAATTTAGTATTGTAATAATATATTTCTAAGAACTCTGGATGTATGAAATGGACTAAGTAATGTAAACTCATTCTCATTATTGGGTCCTAAGGGAAAAAGGTGGATTATTCGGGCTCTCCCTTGGGGTGTGCTCGACGGAATCCGCCCGATGTAGCTCGCTCTCGGGGTGCTTAGTGTCTAGTGGAAGACAAGCACCTCCGTAAGTGCGTTATTTCAGGCGGTTCTGCCACCATGTGGCCTTGAATGACACACTCTTCTTCTTGTCATCCTTCTTCTCCCTCTTTTTTTCCTTCTCATCATCATCTCTATAAGCATCATCGGTCATGATATCTCCTAAGATTTGGTTTGGTGTCATTATGTCCAAACCAGTCCTCACTAGCAAGGTGACCAACATACCAAATCTTGCGGGTAAGCATTTCAAGAACTTATGAGAGAAGTCCTTGTCCTCCACCTTCTCACCAAGTGCTTTGAGATCATTGACAAGCACGTCCATCCGATGGAACATGTCCGGCACACTCTCATCTTCCTTCATCTTGAAGCTAGCAAATTTTTCCTTGAGAATGTATGCCTTTGCACCCTTCATTGTCTTGGTGCCCTCGAATGATTCTTCCAACTTCTTCCAAGCCTCATGAGCCATCTCAGTGTTCTTGATTTGCTCAAATGTTCTCTCATCAATTGCATCATGAATGGCACTTAGAGCAATGTCATTGTGTTGGAGAAGCACTTCTTCGGCCGCGGTGGGATTCTTCGGATCGGCAATCTCAACTTTGGTTTTCACCACTTTCCACACCCTTCTATTGATTGACTTGATATGTGTGATCATCTTTGACTTTCAATATGGATAATTTATGCCAACAAATCGGGGTGGCTTCTTGATGTCGTTGATTTGAGCCATTTTGACACCGAAGGTTGTTAAGCCTCAAATTACGGTGACTATGGCTCCGATACCACTCGAAATGTTCTAATGGCTAGAGGGGGCGAATAGCCTATTAAAAATTTCTACAACAATACTAAGACAAATGATTAGTCAATAAGATGGCGAAGCAAATTTTGCGTTAGCACTATACTTGGGGTTGCAAGCCACTTACCCAATTATATTTTCTATTATCTCTAGTATATCACAACAAAGCTATGTCACTAATAAACACCTAGGTGATCAACCTAGTGAGAGTAATATAATTAAATGATACACTATCTAGTCTTAACTATCATTAGCTCTATCCAAGTGAATGTATAATGAAATACAAGAGAGTGGTAGAGAGGTATACCATCGTGGCAAGTGACCAATGAGTGAATACCAAGGAGACAATCAAGACACACTGATTTTTCCTCTGAGGTTCACTTGCTTGCCGGCAAGCTAGTCCCCGTTGTGATGATTCACTCACTTGGAGGTTCACGCGCTAATTGGCATCACACGCCAAACCCTTAATAGGGTGCCGCACAACCAACACAAGATGAGGATCACACAAGCCACGAGTAATTTACTAGAGTATATTTTGGCTCTCCACCGGGGAAAGATCAATAACCCCTCAAAATCACCACGATCGGAGCCGGAGACAATCATCAACCTCCACTCGACGATCCTCGCTACTCCAAGCCGTCAAGGTGGTGGCAACCACCAAGAGTAACAAGCGAATCCCGTAGCGAAACACGAACACCAAGTGCCTCTAGATACAAACACTCAAGCAATACACTTGGATTCTCTCCCAATCTCACAAAGATGATGAATCAATGATGGGGATGAGTGGGAGGGCTTTGGCTAAGCTCACAAGGTTGCCATATCAATGCAAATGGCCAAGAGACTGAGCTACAGCCGGTAATAGGGCTTAAATAGACAGCCCCACGAATAGAGCCAGAGCCGTTGGCTATTTGTTTCCTGAAAAGTCAGGGCGACCGGACGCGCCGGTCAGATCGACCGGACGCACCGGTCCAGCGTCTCGATCAACGGATGCATGCCACGCGTCGCCTCCGTTCAACCACAGTCGCGGGATCTCAATGGTCGTCTGTCGCACGCCAATGATCAAGTACCAACCAGACGCAGCACAGTGAGATGATCGGATGCTGCAACGCCTGAGTCCGGTCATTTCCAGAGAGCTCCCCAAGCCTCTTTTTTGCGACCGGGAGCGTCCGATCACATGTGACCGGACGCATCTCAGGGTCCGGTCCTCACTGGCTTCTCGCGCCTGCCTGCGTCAGCGTACGTCATCACTAGACGTAGGCCCTGCGCGTCCGGTCACTTTTACCGTGCAGTGTCCGGTCAGTTCTGCGCCCGCACGCCATCTGCTGCCACTAACCGGACGCGCCGGTCCTGCCGAGTCCAGCGTCCGGTCACACGCAGTGACACCTTCTCGCCTCCGTTTCTTCACAAACTTCTTTTTCTTTACAAATGTGCCAACACCACTAAGTGTACACCTTGTGCACATGTGTTTGCATATTTTTACAAATATTTTCAAAGGTGTTAGCACTCCATTAGATCCTAAATGCATATGCAATGAGTTAGAGCATCTAGTGGCACTTTGATAACCATATTTCAATATGAGTTTCACCTCTCTTAATAGTACGGCTATCCATTCTAATTGTGATCACACTTGCTAAGTGTCTTGATCACTTAAACAAAAAAGTTCCTATCAAGTTTCACATTTGCCTTTAGCTTTTTGTTTTTCTCTTTCTTCTTTTCCAAGTCCAAGCATTTGATCATCACCACGCCATCACCATCGGCATGTCATGATCTTCATCTGCTTCACCACTTGGAGTAGTGTTATCTATCTCATAATCACTTTGATAAACTAAGTTAGCACTTAGGGGTTCATCAATTCACCAAAATCAAACTAGAGCTTTTAATGTTTCAAATGTTTCAAAGGTATGTTGTAAGTGTTTCACATAGATATTGCAAAAGTTGATCGGGATGTTGCATATGTTGCAATGGCTATACACGCATGTTGCAAGAGTCTGTTCTAAATATTTCATCTGTTTCTCAGACGTATGTTGCAAGCGTTTTATTTGGATGTTGCATATGTTTCACGCATATATTGCAAGTGTTTTATTTGGAAATTACATATGGTTGCAACGGCTTTCAAGTGTTTTCAGTCGTTTTGTAAGTGTTCGTATGCTACAAGTGCTTCGTCTGGATGTTACAAAAGTAGATCGGGCGTTGCATATGTTGCAACGGGACCCACCTGTCGCTGCCGCCTGCTGCAGCTGCTAGGGCGTCGTGCATGCGGTTCCCATGTGAAGCGGGCCTAGGAAGCAGACGACACATGCACAGACAGTCCCCGTGTGCTCGATACGGAGCAGGGGTGCAAGCGGTCCCCACATGCGCGGGAAGCGGAGCTGAAGCGAGCGGTTCCCGTGTGCGACAGAGGACGCGGGTAGGGGCGACACGTCCACGTGACGCGGGCGCGGGAAACAGGAGGCGCAGGAAACGAAGAGGTGCGCAACACGCGCAACACAAGCAGGCACAGACGTCTGAACGCTAGCATCTCTCGTAAGTTCTTAACTGTATATGAGATAAGTTTCAGGGAGATGTGCGTGATAACCCCTTGGTCGTCATTAATTTGGACAAATTTGGAGGGAGCAAATGTGAGACGTCTGTCTGTTTTTCTTTAGTGGAGTCCGTCTTTTTTTTTAAGGAAAGAGTGGAGTCCGTCTGGTCTACTTTTTTATTTTTTGGCCATGCTTGCAGCCCAGCACGAAGGCTAAGAATTATCGAGCCCAAAGGCCCATCTGGCGCCGCTTCCGGCCCGCTCTATTCTGCTACACTGTCAACTCGTTCTGTCGTACAGCTGCCCGCCGCCGCCGGAGACGGGAGCAGCTGGCCGCAGCGCCTCCCACGGCGCATCAGCTATTCAGCTTGATGCAGGGCCTCCATCCAGAGCCCACTTGGACAACGAAGGTATGTATAACAGCAGTTACATCCCCCCCACCCCCACCCCCCCCTGCAGATGTAGAATGGCTCTACCCCTGTTCACTTGTTTATAAGCCGTATTTTTTCTAGTATTTTTCTGTCATAACAAATCAGCCAACAGTACTTTCAGATATGGCTTATCAGCTAAGTGAACAGAACAATAATTGTTAGATTTGATGTGTCCTTGTAATGTCCCAAGGACCAACAACAACAACCAAATTGGTAGGCAAAGAGTGTAAAATGTCACCTGATCATATGTTGGCCAGATAACACAAGCTGGTTTGTTGCCTGGCTATTGTTCCTTCCAATCCCGGCGAGCAGCCTAGCACAACCAGCCCCAACAGTTTGTGCATATGTGATTCTTTTTCTGGCTTCTTACATCTTTGTCTGCTCATCTGTGATTCCTGAACCTTCCACTCTAGCCCAAATATGATCTATCGATTATTTGTGCCTACCCCCAGCTTGCTTGGGACAAAAAGTCTCTGTTGTTGTATTATAATTGTTAAATTTTTATTAGGTTGTTAACAATTGTTAGCTGCAAAAGATTCTGCACTCTAATTGAACAAATCGTCATGAAATTCACTAACAATGTTTTTCTGCTGCTTTAGCCTGCAGAGTTACAAGAAAACTTTGCATCGATATTTGCAGATATGTTACAATTAGCACTTCTTTTCTTCTATCTCTAAGTATTTGATAACCCTCAGCACAAAAGTACCATATGGACACAGACTTTTAGGTGGCTCTTACCATTACATTTGTGCCACTGACATCTTCTACTAAAACAAGTATCTGAACCACATTTTCCATGGTTGGTCTTCTATCTCTATCTTCCTCCATGCATGAAATGGCCAACCTCATCATTGTTCTTGCTTGCAAATTGTTGAATTCACCATTCAGCCTAGCGTCAACGAAGTCGGCGATCCAAGATGGCTCAATATCATCCAACTGCAACTTTTCTTTGACCAGCCTTGATACCCTTCCAAGGACCATCTCCGCTTCCACATCCTCATTATTTTCCATGTTTGAGACGCGTGCTCCCAATAGTAGTTCCAGTAGCACCACTCCAAAGCTGTAGACATCAACCTTTGCTGTAATCGGGAGACTAGAAACCCATTCAGGTGCTAAATAACCTCTAGTTCCTTGGATCTTTGAAACATTTGTGTTGGATCCACCTCTGCTCAGGAGCTTTGCTAGGCCAAAGTCTGCAATCTTAGGAACCAAGTTCTCATCCAGCAGTATGTTTTCAGGCTTCACGTCGCAGTGGATTACCCACTCTGAACACTCGTGGTGAAGATACGCTAATCCTCTAGCCACCCCTAGCGCAATATCAAATCTTTGCTTCCATCCAAGTAAGATTTCCGAACGCTTTCTGTCAGATAAGAATTTATCCAATGAACCATTCTCAAAGTATTCAGAAACCAATATCCTGTGTGGACCATCGGAACAAAATCCCCAAACTCTCACTAGGTTCATATGATAAATCCTGCTAATCACAGTCAGTTCATGCTGGAATTCTTCTTCACTTTGGTTTATTTCTGCTAACTTCTTCACAGCTACTGCCCTGTTGTCTTTCAAGACACCTTTGTATACAATGCCTGACGCACCCCTTCCAAGTTCATCCTTAAACTTTCTCGTCACCGACACCAACTCTCTGTAGGTGTACCTGCGAAAATGATTAGTTATCATTTCATATCCAGGCTCAGCTGGCCACACTCCTCTCAGTTCTCTGCACTCCCTCCTCAAAATAAACCATCCTAATACAACAAACATTAGCTCTGCCAGAAATATTGCTGATAAGAATCCATAGAAGTACAGATACTTTGATTCACTCTGATCTCTCTTAAGCATATCCAGAAAATCTGCTATGAAGTATTTATTTGTTGTACTACAGTCAGGACCATACTTGGGACCAAAAGGTTGTGATTGCGGAATTGAGGCCTCCAACACTTCTAATCCCTTAGGAATCTTGATGTACATGGTACCAGTACTACCAAGGTTATGCAGGGTTACACCACCAAGAAGAACAGACTTTGGATAGCAATCACCAGTTCCTTCCCAGTATGCAAAACCCTTACAATTGCAATCATGCAGGCACTTGTTCTTGCAAAAATCAAGAGAAACAAAATGATGGGCAGTCATATCATACCCAAAGAAATCGGTGTGGGGTAGCTTAGCAAATTTCACCATCTGTGCATCACAACTGATGTTGGTCTTTGGTCTGCAGCCTTTGCTCTGCTCACTTGGGTCGATGACTTCAAAACCAGGGGCACACGCACAAGCTGGCACAGGAGTATACACACATATTCCGTTTTCGCCACACAGACCGCGTACTTTGCAAAGCTGAGGAAAGGCCATCCATGTGACCGACCATGTTCTGTCTTCCATATTCAGACTGTATAATCTGAGGTTGCCATCATAATCCAGTGTTAGCCGCCTCGTGATCCCAGGACCCCAATCAGCAGCTGTGAAGGTTGCATTGTCACTTCCAAGGAAATGTCCCCAGGTATCAAGAGCCCCAGATGTACTGCTATTGAATGGCACTCTAAGCTTCTCCCAGATAGTCCTACTTGGATTTGGCCAATAGATAAAAGAAATATTTTTCTCATCATCAAACAGAGAAAGAAGGTACTGATCGTCAAAATGGAAGCTGTAGTGGCCAGGAACAAGTAACCTGTTAGTAGAGACCAGCTTTGTAGGAGCAGTAATTCTCTGAGTGGGTAACAAGGTATCAGTAGGAGAATCAAAGCTTTGCCATAGGATGGCACTATCTTTGCCCTTCACAACGAGGTTCCCGGTGCCCAATAGCTGAGCTTGAACATGCCCAGCATCCGAAGCGCTCACATTGTTGGTCCACACAATCTGGCCATTGTAATCTTTTAGAACCATGCTCCCGTCGACATCTAACTCGACTCTGGATCCCCAGGTGTACACAGGGTGGAGAGGATTCGCGCTCCAGATGATGGTTCTTTTGGATGATCTGGAGAACCAGATGGAGAAGGTGGAGGCATTGGGAGAGATGCTGTAGAAGCCGCAGGTGAAAGTGCCATCTGGCGAGTGGAGCACATCAGAGCTGTGCTCTACGGAGAGAGACGAACCCGCTGACAGGAAATCATAGGCTGAGACAAGCGAAAGCAGATGAATCAACGTGAGGAGGAGAAGACTGGCTAAGCTCTCATTCATGGTAGATGCTGCAGCTATTAATGATCAATTGCGTGGAATCAGATGAATGTTGGTCAGGAGAAGCAGGCGCAGAATCAGGGTTATCTTAAAATGGTGGGATATGCGCATAGGATTCAGGTTGCAATGCATTATCATCCATGGACTGAGCTATGGGAAGGTCAGGTTTGGAGTTTGGACAAAGTGGTATGTTCACCATTAGGCAAGTGCGCTCACATGAGTGGTTTGGAAAAGAACAGATTTAGAATTCGTGGTGATATGTTATGGTTACACACCTAATCATGTAAACTTTTGTACAAGTGTTTTATGGAGTATATCCAAAATGTAACCTCTTGTGCGAACTTGTGGTGGCTCGACGTGGGTGCTCGCATATTACTGGATTTATTCTAAAATTTAACGGCGTTATTGTTTTAGTGATTCGCAAAAAAAATATAATCTTTTTGCTCCTAAAGCAGTTCAATTATAAACAGAGAAAAAAGAAACTAATCAGGAGCGGATCAATTATAAATTATAAATTAGAGAGAAATAAAAAGAAGCTAAACCAGCTATGTTTTCAAACTTGTCATGAGAACTTACATCAACATCTTTAGCTTCGGAATTATTCGATTCTTCGTCATGCTCTCAGCAGGTCAACACGCCGCGTCTCCCTAGATAAGTTTGTTGCGTCTATTCTTGACCAATGTCCGCCTAATCCCGGGCCGGTACCCACCACTACGGAGTACACAACAACAGCTCGTGACAGACAGAAAAGCGGCTAATTTGGACTCCGTTCGACAGAAAAGCGGCTAATGTGGACTCCGTTCGGGGCATCTCTGAACTTTCCACGCAGCTTCATCTGAAACCAGCGGCTCTGCTCAAGAAAACATGGTGCAGGTGGGGTAGGACGCATTGTTTAGGTCTCAAATGTCTGTACCTTGTTTACTTTAGCAGAGGAAAAATGGTGACAAAAGCTGGAATGGTTTGTAGCTTATCACGACACTCTCTGGCCCTTCCAGACTTCCACTGTCACTTGCCAGCTGCCTGCTAAACTCCATGCCGGCGTTGGTCAGTTCCTGGTTTCCTGTTGAAAAGAAACAGGCTTACCCATCAAGATCCAGCATGGCATTAGCATCGGTCTGCACTGGCGCGGCGTGGTGACCGACCTTTTACAATTATGTCCTATTGGAAAGCATTGCAAAAAGTAGTGTACAACGATGTCTAATTGTCCAACAAATAATGTTGCATGTTGCTTCAGATCTGAGTCAAACAGCACTGAAAAATCTCACCTAGCAAAGCATCACAATACACTAACGGAACATCGGATCCATTTCCTGCATATTTCCCTCTCGCCTCTTTTCTTTTTCTTTCCTTTTTTTTTTGAACATCTTCTGTTCTTCTGGACAAAACAGAAGATATTTCGAGACAATTCTATTGCAGCTTCTCTTCTCTTTTGTCTCAGAATCATACTAAATGGAGATACAAGAGCAAAAAAAAAAAAAGGAAAACCCAATGCCATGTACTTTCAACATCCTCTATGTTCTGAGAAGCGGCAACAAAATCTCCACGCCAAAGAATGGGGGGTACAAAGCGGCTAGAGGGAACACATTTTCTAAGATCTACAGGCGCAGGCGCTGCGGTAGAGAAGTTAAAAGAAGCCAACATGCTTATTACAAAAAGTAATCTGGGGTCTTGCGCGTCATGTCTGGCTCAATTTGCCGCGGAGCTGGGTCGAATTGGAGGAAGTTCTGATCCATGTTCTCACCGATTTCGAGGATGGCAGCCATGTTCCCGCATCGGTAGCAGTAGTTAGGCGCGCTGAACACTGTCACAACGTTCTTATCCTGCATCACAATACAAAAAAATCAAGATTCTATTCAATTTAATAATCAGTGGTTTGCCTAAGCCTGTGATGGAAGGAGAAACGCACAATTCACATAATATGTAAGAGAAAACAGATGTGCCTAGTCTGATTGGATTAGCCTGTATCTAGGCTGTGCAATGCAGTCAACCTGTGTTTGGTTGCCCAAAGACTCTTATGCGGCCCTTGCACAGCAGATTTGGTGGTACTAAGAAATGCAGCACAAGTCAACGGACATACAAAAATAATATTGTCGCCTTCCCTACCTCTATTAAAAACATGAAACCTTTACTTGAGACAACTACCTACAACACAATCTAAGCAACCAAACACACTGGCTTGGGTTGTATTGCATAAGCTGTAATGGCTAAGGCTAAATGGCTAATGCAAACAACCAATCACACCCTAACATATTGCATACGTTTATGCTGGCTTGGGTTGTGCCGCGTAAAGCCTAATGCAGGTTAAGACTAGTGCAAGCAACCAATCCAACACTTAATGCATGGAGTAATGCATTGTCCCTTATAGCTTTTCTAATACATGGATAAATCATCATTTATTGCAATATGTCATTGCTTCTGAGCAAGCTATATCTTATGCAATGGAATGATCCATGTCTTCTCATAAATAAACACTTCATCAACTTTTCTTTCGGGGAATAATTATGTCCTCCATTAGTGAATAAATCATGCTTAGAAACCATGCAATCTAACTGCTAAAACTTTGGCCGCTAAGATAGTGTTTGGTGATGTTAAGTCACGTAAATGGAAATGGAATCAGATTACACTGTAATCAGAGCTGGAATGGGTGATTGCGATCTTTGTTTGGTTTTTAATGTAAACAGTATCACATGTGAAGAGTTGGTGTACCTACAACCGCATGCGTGCAACTGGACTAGTCAAACCCACCTCATGCACCTTGGGATTGGAGATGGGGAAGATGAAAGTGTGATTTAGGGCATGTTTGGTACTATGGAAGCTAATTCTCTGAGAGAAGTGATTCTCTAACTGAGAATGTTTCTCTATGATAAATTTTATGCTTATATTGAGTTTAGTGAGACTGTGGAGTGAATCGGAAGAAACTACCTTTTTCAGCTCCTGTCCCCCTAGCTCATTTCAGAGAATCACTCGCATAGAATCACTTCTCGGTAAAAAACTATTTGGCAGAGCTCCTCCTAGATTTATCCAGGAAGCTGCTCTCGGAGCCCTGCCAAACAAGCCCTTAAGATCATGCAGCAGCCAGCTACCCGTGGGAACCTGCTAGTGCCTCAGCAGCTAGCCTTGCCTCTGCATTTGACATTTTGACGTCACTTTTCTGATGTGCTTCGGCCCAGAATCTCAAGCAGCCTACAATGTGCCTGCGTCTCATCTCTACAACTGCAAGCAGAGTTTTGACTCTTCTAGCAAGAACAGCAGCTGTCACCATAGGGAAGGCAGAGCAAGCCATAGGACAGGGTAGGTCTGCCCCCATAGGGAAGGCAGAGGAAGCCATAGGACTCATCTTCGTTGAAGGGAGAAGTCAGTGGATCTCTGAACTGAAGGCATCGGCACGGGACAGGAGCAGTTGGGGGGCTGTTGTGGAACCTTGGTCCCAGACAACAGCGTGGGGCCCTAGAGTTGAATCCAACTTCTGAACCTTCAGGCGTACCAAAGGGACTACCAGGGAATAGGGGGTGGTTCTAATGGTGATTTCACTTCCAAATGGATGGAGTATTTTTTTCGAAAACCTAAATGGATGGAGTATTACTGTATAGGATCAATGTTCCTTATGTATAGGGCGTACCTAGTGCAGAGAGCTCCCGCTCTGTGCGGGGTCTGGGGAAGGGTGTCAGTGGCAAGCCTTACCCTCGCTTGTGCAATGCAAGGAGACCGCGACTCGAACCCGGGACCTTCCGGTCACAGGCGGTAAGACTCTACCGCTTGCACCAGGCCTAGCAACAGAAATTCTTATCGATAATTAGGATCCTCAGAAACTTCTGCAGGAATGGGTTCACGTACTTAATAAAAATGTCATGACAGTTTGGTAAACAGAACTCTGATTTTTTTTTTTTAAAAAACAATGGGTAGAATCGAACATGCTGGATACTAACCTGGCACCAATTGAACCCTTCCATTACAAGTTGATGAGCCCTTGAAATAAGACTTAGCCCATTTGTATGGTTGAATTGTTGTGCAATATCTTGGCCAAATGTGTATCCAGCACCCCTTGGTGAAATTCCCCACCCACATCGATCATCCGGGTCAGACCACAAAAGATCACACATAGGTCCTTCATGCGGAACCTACAGCCATTTTAAATAACAGAGAAAATATTAATCAAGGAAAACAAAATGCATAATCAACAAAATATTATATACAAGAACTATGATATTTATACCTTAAAGCCTAATTGAGAGATCATTTGTAAATCATTTAAGAACAATCAGTGTCAAGAAACTGAATGGCTGAAATAGGCTTCTACAGCCATGCAACCAAACAAAGCCCCCTCTTGGCCTCTTCTCTACCTAGCCTGGCTATCCCTAGCTGGTCCAAAATCTAAGCCAGGCAACCAAACAGCCCTTAAATCTCTTTCTCAATGCAACTAAGCTAGGAAGTAAAGTATCATGCAAAGTTGGAAATTGGATCCAATTGCTTCTGTTTTTCCTTGCGGAGTATTCATCTGGTCAGAATAGGAAACCACCCAACTGCAACAAGGTGAACAGATAATTCTGAAATCTGGACTCGTAGTTTCTAAGGTTCTTCTCACAACAAGACAAGAATGTGTTCTGGTCCATGCAGATGCAAAACAAAAGGTTCAATCTCTTCTTCCTTACTAACCTACCTAACAGATATATTTAATAAACGGAACTATCTATGTCTTGACAACCAGACCTGTTATGTCTATGCAGACTTCAGCGATCAACATAGATATCTCAAAAGAAACGGGATCCATACCCAATTCACAAGAAAGATGTGCACAGAATAGTCTACAGTTCAAAATGTGTGACGTGTATAAATTATCCATAATCAGTAACTAGTTCACAGAAATGATGGAAAATTTGTTGCCAACCTCTTGTATGCGATCAAGGGCACGGATATTATCCAATGTATCCAGTGATGGAGAGAGACCACCATGTAGGCAGAAGATCTGCAAAATGGAATTTTCAGTTTTTGTCAGGTATAGACAGAACAGAATCACAAATTCATACCAATGTACTACAACATAACCAGAGAACTAACCTGGTTTTCTATAAGAGCTGTCAGAGGCAAATAATCAAACAAGTCTGTGAAGTACTTCCACACATTTGCGTTTCCATATTTCCGCAAGCATTCGTCATAGAACCCATACCTGTAGCCAAACATTTGATGTAAAGAGCACCCTAGCACTTTGGGTGCGTTTGTATAGTTGCATTTCACAATGTAGGCCAATGCAACAAAACAGCTGAACCAATGTATGCCTCATGGCAAAAGTGTGTTGTATTGTTGTTTATTGTAAGTAAACTTCAGAGTTCTGTCTGCTTTATAACTGAAGTAATAATGGTTACAGTAGTAAGCATGTGATGCCATGACCCAAAACATCCTTTCCAAGCATCGATACTTGATTAGTCCATTAAACATCCCACAGAGAAACTAGATTGTGTTAAGACGTGCTGAGACACTCGCCTTCCATAAAAAAAAAAGGCGTACCCAGTGCAGAGAGCTCCCGCTCTGTGCGGGGTCTGGGGAAGGGTGTTAGTGGCAAGCCTTACCCTCGCCTGTGCAATGCGAGGAGACCGCGACTCGAACCCGGGACCTTCCGGTCACAGGCGGTAAGACTCTACCGCTTGCACCAGGCCCGCCCTTCCCTCTCGCCTTCCATAAAGAGGTCAACAAATTAATATCAAATAATTGTTAGATAAACTAACCAGAACATTATGCAGTTGATTTGATTGTTGAAACTGTGAAACAGAAATCTATATTTGGTTTTCTTTTTTCCAAAAAAAATCTAAATGCGCTAACAGAATAATTCAATCCACAATTTTTTTTAAATCTAGATCTGGTTTGCAGATTAAGGACTGACAGGCATGCAAACAGGGGCGTGGGTTGGAAGGATAGATAAGAACGTACGAGAGAAGTCCTTCACCTTATGTGGGGAATGTTGTCAAGGGTTTAAGCCTAGGTCTGATAAACATGCACTATATATCCTACAGTTAGGAAACCAGACCCAGTGATCTGCAGCTGCAGGTTCGGAATTCTATATCCTGTCAGTTATCCACATCTGAATCTACAGTAGTCTAGAAAATTTTTCCATCTCAAATCAACACTCACTCATCTAAAATGTGGATAGAGGCAGAGTGCAAGTTATGTTAAAATCCAATTCTCAAGAATCAAGATAGAGAGAAAGAAACCTGTGTAGCCAACTTCAGTATCAGCTTATGACTTTCTGGAGCTGAAACTAGGTTATGGAGCTCATTAGACCCCTTTCTACTATAACAAAACCAATAAGATGCTCATGAAAATAATACAAAATTTGATTTGATTTCACAGCAGTTACATGATCACATATGTAGTCCAATTATTATGTCTGATGCCCTTGAAGGATTGAACACGGAAGTAATGTGTAGTTTATCTTAGACACGCATCGTTAATGAAAAATGAAGTAAAGAAGGCTGAAATGCTTTAGGAACCTGAGTACTGCAAAGAAGTAATGATATGGCTGGGAAACAGAGAACGATTTCCCTAATTCACTTGACAGTAGAACTCTTAAGTTTTAAGTCCAATTGTAGAATTCATTAGTATGGACTCAGTGTCCAGGAAACTCATTTCGAATTTACTCCCTCCATTCCAAATTGTATGACGTTTTGACTTTTCTAGATACATGGTTTTTGTTATGCACTTAGATATACACTATGTCTATATAGATAGTGAAAGCTTGGCCTGCGTGCTGCAATTGCCGTTCAGGGCATGTAACAGTGCGAGTTAATAAGTTTGTTTATGTTTTTAGTTTAACTCCTGTCGTGTGGGCCATGAAGGGCGGGCCTGGTGCAAGCGGTAGAGTCTTACCGCCTGTGACCGGAAGGTCCTGGGTTCGAGTCGCGGTCTCCTCGCATTGCACAGGCGAGGGTAAGGCTTGCCACTGACACCCTTCCCCAGACCCCGCACAGAGCGGGAGCTCTCTGCACTGGGTACGCCCTTTTTTCTGTCGTGTGGGCCATCCGGTTTAGCTGGTTCGGCAAGCTTCTGGGTAAGGTCTACCAGAGTACTAGTTGGCCGAACCCTCTGTGTTCAGACCAATCTGGTTCAGTTTTAGCATGTTAATAATGTGTTACGTGGAACGAATGCTGAACTTCTGTAATTTCGTTGCTTACAAGTAATGAAATTTGGTTCGTCCGAGGTGGGAAAAAGATATAGATAGTGAAAGCAATGTATCTAGAAAAAGTCAGAACGTCTAACACTTTGAAACGGAGGTAGTAATAATTTAAAGGGAAAATTACTTAATAATGCCCTCATGTTTTCAGTGGCTGCGATAAAAAAATTCTCATACTGAAATTAGTAATTCTGTACTGCTGTTCAGCTAAAGGAATAGGAACTCACACTTGAGTTATTTGTCTGCTCTCATGATTTCCTCTCAATATTGTAATTCTGTCTCTATAACGTACTTTTAGAGCCACTAACAGCGACACAGTCTCCACTGAGTAGTAGCCACGGTCTGCAGAAAAAACCCGTAGTCAACTCAACTGTGGTATGGAAACAAACAAACTATCAAAAGCAATAGAAAGTTTAGATATAAAGACAGGAAGCTTCCCTAGTACCTTGACAAATTAACTGGAAAAGGTAGCATTTGCTGAAACACGTCTAATATTGCACAGCACTAGGACGCAACACATCAAAAATTGCAGGAAAGTTTAATTGAACCTCGTCCTGTTTGTGTGTATGCCCATATGCTAATGCTAGGTGACCTAGGTCCATAAAAATTGCAGACATAACAAGCATGTTTTGCAGACAAGGCTCTTACTTGTATACTCCCTCCGTCTCAGGATAGAAGGTGCAACTCCCTTTGGCACCAAGACCAATAAGTAAATTAACTCCTACACATTAAAGGCGTTTTGGTTCTCCATCCAATTTACTGTGATGCCGCATGCGTGCATGCAGAAACGGTCTAGCCAATTAGCTTCCAGCATTCACGCATGCATGCTGCACAAATGCATTCCCGAGGGAGCCCAGGAGTCAGATTTGGTCCTGCATTAGTTGTTGCATGCGGGAGCTAAAGTGCAGGCGCCTTGTATCATGGGACTAAGAAAAAAAACAGCTACGCCTTATAACTATTCAAGAATGCTTTACGTGTACAATCAGTGTGAGCGATAGTGTAGCGTACAATCAGTAGAGAACACACATCTATGCCATAAAATTAAAAAGATTCACGTTTTGAACTTCTTATATACAGTAACCAGAAACATCATCTAATTGCCAATCTGCAGAAGTTTTTTAAGGCTCTGTTTGGATGTAGATATTGGCTTGGAGGAATTGAATTGGATAGCAATACCAATGCAACGCTGAAATAGAATTAGGTAAAATACCAAATATATTGTTTGGTTGCACAGAGAATCTATAGTTGGAATCTGAGGCCCGTCATCTCTCCCCTTCCTCACGCGCTCGCCCCTACGGCCCTACCTCCGCGCCGCTCCGCTCGCCTGCTATCCACGGCACACGCAGGCCTGCACTCCAATCGGAGATCAAGTCTTTGTTCTCCTTTCGCACGCCCGGCGCCACAAGCGCGGCTCGTCGCGGCGTCCCGCTGTACTTCGTCGATGCGCCGGCTTCTTCCTCTGCTCCGCCTCCGGCTTGCGACCCCGCCACCTCCACAGCGCCTTCTTGGCCGCACGCAGGCAGCGGTGGACTGGCGCCCAGGGATCCGCCCCGATGTCCGCGCGGGCACCTGGAACCCGGTGGCGCTTGGCCTCCAAAGCGCGGAAGTCTTCAACATGGCCACCGGCAGCGGCGGCTTCTCCTCCCCCGACGAAGGGGAGTCCTCCTCGACCTGAAGGCCAGCAGCAGCGGCGGCACGGTGGGAACCGGGAGCGGCGGCGGTGGCTCTCGGCGGCTGCGGTAGTGCGCCGGGGGATCCACAGGAGTGTGGCGGAGGTGCACCGGGAGATCCACAGGACGCAGCTGCGGAGGCGCACTGGGCCGAGCTCTGCCTCCAGCGGCTGTTGGGCAAGAGTCTCCGGTGAGGATCTACATGATGCGGCGGCAGTCAGGCGGGAGCCTCCTGCGGCAATGGTGAGGCGAGAGCAGCCAGCGGGGTTCGATGGAGCGGGTAAGTGAATTCGGTCCAATACAGAGGGGTCGAGCTCGGTTTTGAAGGGAGGCCGATTCAATTATAGGCGAATACCGTGGAATCGTGCTTCGATTCCATCTCACAATACTGAAGACATCCAAACAGCAGAATTGGAAAAGTCACATCCAATTCCAAATCCCAGGTCTCAATGTCTACATCCAAACGGGGTATAAGTCACTTAACAGATACCAAATCGACTAATCCATCACATAATAACGCCCGAAAGAATTTTTTTTTATCTATGAAACAACAGTGAGGAAGCCAAAATCAGCTTGAACAATCCATTTAGCATTAATAACCCCATCCATTTAACCATAATCAGCTTGAGCACCTCAGTTCCCAAGCTCGATCTATTGAAATTAATACTCCTAACTGGTAACAGTCTCCAAAGAACCAGATCGAACCACCATGCAAACCAACAGATCGACCGGAACCAAGAACGAGTCTGGACTAGGATAGGCCGGGGGACTGACCGACGTAGTCGCCCATAAAGAGGTAGTTGGTGTCGGGCGCGTCGCCGCCGATGCGGAAGAGCTCGATGAGGTCGTAGAACTGGCCGTGGATGTCGCCGCAGACGGTGACGGGGCAGCGCACGGGCTGCACGTTCCACTCCTCCATGAGGATCGCCTTGGCCTGCTCGCATAGCGCCTTGACCTCCGCCTCCGGCAGGAACTTGCAATCCCGCAGCTGCGAGATCTGGAGGTCCAGATCCGCGTGCGACGGCATCGCCGCTGCCGCTGCCGCTCCGCTCTACCTCAAACCTCCCCTTCCCTCCGCCTTACCTAGTTCCCTCCGCCGCCGCCCCAGCCAGCACAGCCGAGGAGGAAGGAGGAGAAGCGCGGGACCCAGCAAGGCCGCCTGCAAGGAGGGGCGCCGAGGCGCGCGGGGTGGACGGGATCGAAGAGGACGGAGGTGGGGGGCGAGGAGGGCTAGTGCTTATGCCTCCATCTTCCCTCTCGCTTCGCGGTGTTTGTTCGTGGATGGGGAGCTTTTCTTTTTTTTTCTCGCTGTCTTGGTATTTGTTTTCGATTTGGCTTTCGGCTTTTTTGTTTGGTTTGGTGATTTGGTCCTTGGTCAGAGTAGTTTTATGGTCTTGTTTAGATGGTAAGTTTTTTCACTCTCTCTTCGTCACATCAAATCTTTAGATATATGTATAGAGTATTAAATGTAGATAAAAAAATAACTAATTATACATTTTGATTGTAAATTACAAGATGAATCTTTTGAGTCTAGTTAGGCCATAATTGGATAATAATTGTCAAATACAAACGAAGTGCTACAGTGCCAAATACTAATTGCTAACCCCAATTCTAAATAAGACCTATGTATTGTTTTATCAAAGAAAGGCAAGGCGGCGTACTTTCCAGGTGGAGGGATTAGAGAATGGCAGGATGTTTCGTGGTGGGGATGTTTGTGGGTTCTTCCATGATTGTTTGAATTTTGGATGAATCCATTTTAACCTACCTCCTATTTAGGGTTCCTAGCATTTTTAAATGGGAACCCTACAGTTTTAATCTGAATTATTTTTTTAAAAAAAAGTTGAGGCACCGTCGATTTCCTGCGATAATGCATCCCTGAGCTAGACAGAACACTTTAGCTACACCAAAATCATTTAATCAGCCACCTAGGAACTCAGTGTGTCTTTGTTTTTATTATTACTACCCACAACAGGCATATGTTTGGTTGGACGATACTAGAACAAGGTAAGATAAATTTTAGCACACAAAGGATGAGACGATTTTCAAGAGGGAATAAATCTCTCAGATGGTGGATATCTCTTGACGCGCTTCAACTAGTGCGCGGTTGAGTCCACTATTGTCCCTTCGTCGCCCTCGCACACGCATTCAGGGCAAGTCTATATCGGACCCACTATTCTCGTCGACATCTTCTACCTTCTATATCTCATCGACCGTCACACTGGCACGCTTGTGGTGAAGCTCGCGGTCCCAACCATTGTCGCGTGGTGACTATGCTCACTTCATCACTTGGTTGAATCGTCCTACCGTGGGTTCGATTCAGCGACAGTGATAACTAATCTGACCATGGGTCAATGCATGTGATTTCGATGGCTTAAGCACCCAAGACACAAAAGGGTTTGTCCTAGTTCGGGAGTCTAAGCCCTACGTCTAGCAGTGGTGTTCATGTTAGAATGCTCAAACGAGTTCTTACAACGGTGGAGAGAGTTGCAGGGAAGCACTAAGCTAGTGATCTAGGGTTTTATCTATCTCGGTTAGGTCGATCCATTCTACAGGAGCCCATGCCCAACCTTATATACTCGGAAGGCATGACGTGTACAAGTAGGGTGGTTCGCTACCATATTCTAGGGTTTTGTGTCCTTATCTTTAGTTTGGTGGCTGATAGCCCTGAACCGTCCCTCACATCCTCTATTGGAGTCTAGAGTTGACCGTGAGAAGTCAAAGTTCCCGTTGTGTCGTGTCTGGATTTGTCTCCCTTGTGGCGTCCGTCACACGCCAAGGACATGCCCGCTTGCACGAAGAGGCTAACCAGCGGGCCCGAGCGCCTCCACATAGTGGCCACACGTCCATCCTTGTTGCTTTGTGTAATGCCTCGAGCGTGATCTTGAGCTGGGAGTGGCTGACAACCTCGCAAAGGGCGAGGGAATAGAGCCACGATAGGGCCTGGCACCCTGCGACTCTGCCCTTGTGTCAGGTTCGGACCATATCATTCTAATTACGGAGGAATATTTCTCACGTCAGTTGGGGCAGAAAGCCAGCGACATGATAGTGTGCGCATCCTCCCTTGATCGGCTACTGCCTTCCAAGGTCGAGAGCCTTGCGGGCCAGGCTGAGCCCCTCGGACGCATGCTTATCTCCTTGCCCTATGTGCCAGAGGCTAAGTCCTCTTTCTAAAGTGAGTTGTCTTATGCCCATTACGCCTGATGTGGTAGTCCAGAGTGTGCACATCAGCATTCATGATGGTGTAGTCCCTGAGCCCTTGCTGATTAGGAGAATCAATTAGAGGGGTTAATCGTACTATCAGGGTGCTAATTTGTGGGCTTAGGTAACCCCTTAGATAGGAACCCCTGATCCCCTCGTGGCCTCCCGAGCCATATTGGGGATGTCGACAAGGGGATCTTATCTTTTCTCAAACCGTTCGCTCAGGCAAGGTAGGCCCCCATCTTGGATTCAGTTGTTCGTCTAAGGACATCAGGAGCGTCGTCATGGCTTATGGGATGGGTAATGTCCTCGGTGAGTTCAACCTGGTCAAGCATGAGCGGAGGCCCGGTCTATCCCTCGAAGGCGTTTGGCTTTGAGACTGCATGAGGCGCCCCAATTACCCAACCTGTAGTGGGTCAAACGTCTCTCTCGGTGCCAGCATGTCGCTTGATGTACCACCCCTGTGGAAGGGTTCGATAGTAGGCGTCATTGGCTCAGGCTCCACGTTGCGACGGCCGGAGCATTCGGCATGCCCGAGCTAAAGCCGCTGGTGGGTCTATCACGCCATGCCCGTCGCTCTCTCATTCCCTAGGTCTAGAGGCGGTCACGTGCCGTCTGCCAGCTAGACTTCGAACCCCTGGTGTCATGGGGCAGAGGAGACCTGGACCTATCGTGGGTCCTTTGTTGGGGGGTAATTTTGGAAAAAAATAAAAAATTGTTCGGTTTGCATGAAACTGAGTGGATCATTGGTTCCATAAAACCAGCTGGTTCAACCAATTTTTAACGGTCCCGATTACATGAACAGTCTTTTTTTATGAACCAAACCATTATTATATTTGGTTCGGTCTTTTATCGGTACTAGTGGCAATGCACGTGCAGCACGCATGTGTTTATATCTATGATAGATGACATCCTATTATATTAGTTTCACTATGAGTTATCAATTTTACCCCCATCAAATTAATGGCCAGACTTTGACAAATCCAAATTCCAAGATGATATAGATATACATATAAATGTTATCATATATATAAGTCTAACTTCCCTTAATAACAAACAATACATTGATTAAAATTAAAACATGATTCAATAATTTATTACATTATTATATTAAACAATATATTTGTAGACGTAAACAAAACAATAGGATTAAGGAAGAACACAACGAACCGTGGAAGTTTGCTGTCATACAAGCTCAACGATTATATTGACATTTACGACCTGTAGCCCGAGATATCTCTTTCTTATCATTAAGAAATGTAGCATACTTCTCCTTAGCATGTTGGTGTCTAAGTCCCCCGTGTCCAAGTTCTTGATATCTGAAAAATCATCGTATTATTACTTATTATCCCTTGTACATTATTCACCTCACTGGATGGAAAACGATGCAGTGACAAAAGGGATGACCACAAATTGAGATGCTCTCCTCTACAAATCTTGATGATTATTAAACAGTATATATTAATTCTAATAATTGAATGTTGACACATAGAAATCATCCTATTATAACTTAAATTAATAAGCTACTTACACAGGAGTTGCTGACATTTCCCTTGGATATATAGAGACTGAACCACCACATACCTTTATCTTAGGAGTCGATGGGGGTGAACTGTAGTTCCTTATGATGGCCAGCATCGAGCTTGGAGAAACACTGCCACCCGCTAGGGAACCTGTGAAGTGAGGAATGTACAACAAGACCACATGTGTTCCCTGTGTGCATGCCACACTGGCTTGGGATTAGCTCCTCCGCTTTCCTACTGTGTCACGGTCGCTTCGCGGTGGCTATGCAATCAATGGCACACACGTCCTCAATTGGCCAATGGCAAAGGAAGGATTAAAAGTAAGGCATGGAGAAATTCGTAATATAGATAACAAAGGTAATCATCTCTAGGCGCCACCGTTAATTTACCGAAGTGTATAAAACACATACCAAATAAATATATTGAAATTAACATGTAAAATTACACATTATAATAGATAATAATAAATCTCAGTTTCTTTAGATACCGCGCTTGTGCTTTCTTTTCTAATGCCGTGCTTTCCGAATTAGCCAACCAAAATATAAATTTAACCAACAAATAGAACAAATAAACTAATGTAGTCAATTATATTATAGACGAAGTAAGAACAACTAATAAGGAATAAGAAGGAACAAAGAAGCAGCTACGGCTATGGCCCTTACCTGATCAAGTGGAAGAGTGCATTCGTCAGTTTGTCTTTGTACACAGACAACACCGATATATAGGTCGGCAGCGCGGGCAAAAATTGTGCCGTCATGGCTTCGGCGGTCGGCAACACCGGCACGAATGACGCCTTCATGGCTCCGATGGGTCGGCAGCACCAGCACGAATTATGCCTTCATGGCTCCGCGCCTCCGCCCGTGGATGACGGTGGCCTGCAGGCGTTGCAAATTCGTGAATACTGGTGGATTCAGGATTTTGCCAAACGGTACCCGCACTAAATTTTCCAATGCAATTCGGTAAAATCCATTTAACAAATTAGTAAATAATTATAAAATTTACCTATAAATTGATATAGAAGTACTAAATAATTACATTAATTAGCCAACGAATAATTGAAATATAACTTGCAAACAGGAATTACATATTTGCATACCTTTTTTTTTTAGATTGATCGGAGACCTGTGAGTGATCAATCTTGTTTTGCCTTTGTCCCTTTGCGTGTCAACTTGTCAGGCTGGAATGCCGGCTGCCGGCTGCCAGCTGCCTGGCTCTTGCTGCCCGCGTCTGCCGTGGTGGGCGAGCGCGGAGAGAGAATTTGAGGCGGCGGCGGCACAAGGTCAGGGAGACGGGGTGCGGAAGGTTT